AGGCTGGATTTGTCTATAGTACCTTTTAAATAACTCTACTTATTACTTCTATGCTTCAGAATTGAATATAATAATAATAATAAACATGGTTTTAGCATGTGACAAATAAAAGCTGAAGATCACAGCTTGAATAATGTGAGAATGAAGGATTGAACAGTTAATATACAGCAACTTGATTTACAGACACAATTTGAAGAACATTAGTCTTTTTATTCTTGTCTGTGGTGAATTCGGTGATAAATTGATGATGATCCCACCATAAGTTACTTGGAGATGCTGCTGGTACTCTCCTAATAAATCAGTGACTGCTCACAACAATGAGGAAGACATTTGACTAGTTTTAGACTTTTAATTTACTATAACTTTAGTTTTATTAATAATTGTAATGCCTGTAATGGCTATATTTGAGATAATGATATTCATAGTTGGTAAACACAATATAAATAAACACTTAACAAACAATTAGCAGCTGCTTAAAATGTGACCACCAAGACTGCTTTTATAATAACAGTGCAAAGTCAGTGTGGCCCTACTATAGACTCATTGCTTTGCAGGCTGCCTAAAATCCATGATACAGGAAGTCAGGAATGTATCAGGCTGATCATGAGTCATGATTCAAATTAAAATCCTTGGCTGTGTATACTGTAAATCTATTTACAATACTATCTACTGAGCTATCATAACTGTTTCAGTTTTATAAACACACTCACAGACATTTCTTTGGTCATTGGTCATTGGTCAACAATGCTTTCACTACAAGTGGTTGTCTTCTTGTTGAGTGTCAGTGAAGTTATTAGTCAATGTCCACCTTCCTCAGGTAAGACACTGGATGTGTATAATAACAACTGTATAGGTTTTATAGGTATCTACCTGAGGCATAATGGAAACTGTTATACTAATAATGGATCATATTTTACTGACGCTAGCATCAGACCAACTCCTGTACTAGAGTGTGTATTACCAAATGCTACTCTTAATGGTGGACAATGGATTGGTCCTAATGGAGTAGTTCCTTGTGATGGTACCAACAATGCAAATGTTCAATGTACTACTGGGTCAGCTGCTAATCTCAGTGTTTTCGTAAATCCAGCTAATGGCTATCTTAAGGCAGATGGTGATGGTCAGTATATGTGTTGTCTACCCACTAGTTGTTCAACTCCTGGTACTAACATCATCACTGCTACTATATTCAGTAAGAGGAGACTATAATCACTTACTGATGTAATGATTTTCATTTGTAGGATATTCAGAGATAGAATCATTTACTGTTGCTGATCTTCCTTCTGATATGACAGTATATCCTCAGGAATACAAACTGAATTGTATTAAAATTGGATACGAAATCTATGATATTAGTATGAGCATTGGTAGCACTGCACTGGCTAGTTACACTAATTGTCATGATAATAATAATAATAATTGTTGTCCTGGTACTGATTTAAGTGGTCCTGTTGCATATACAGTAAGATATACTGTTACTATCACATGGGATGGAATGACTGTCAGTAGTGGATCAATCAGTCAATCAACCACTGGAGATCAAATGTATCTGTGCAGGGTAGCAGATCATCCTGATAGTAGGGAAATTAGAATTCGTAATATAACTATAAAAGGTAATGTCAATAAATGCTAATAATTTTGATACCAATAATATTAGTACCAGCAACTGCTCCCTCTTCTCTTACTGAGGTCAGCAAGACAGCTACCACTATCACTGTCAGTTGGACTGCACTTGATTCATCTGATGCTGATGGATATGTAGTCAATGTCACTAGTGACACAGACACTGTGCAGACAGTACAGGTGGAGGGAAGTAGTAATAATACAATCACACTGAATGGACTGAATATAGAAACAACTTATAGCATCACAGTCAGAGCCTATCAACAATTACTGGGACCTACTAGTAGTGCAATCAGTGTACAGACCTTACCAGGTATTGCTACTGCACCTTTTAATGTACTTGCAACATTTTTTATGTATTTCTAGTTATTAATTCAATCAATTGGACACTAGTCTCATCCATTACACAACTCAATGACACTCAATATCGTATTGATTGTCTCACAACTATTGATATAAATCCTTCAACTGATGTTTACTGGTTAGTGAATGGAGTGATGAAGAGTAACTCAAACTATTCATCAATTGATGTCCTGACATACAACAACACACTACTGGTATATCCTGATCCACTGGGAGTGTCAGTTAATGTTACCTGTAAAGCAATGATTGGAGGAATCAACTACAGTCAATCTGTGATATTACATGGTATGATTATACTCTAATTAATAGTAGATACTTTGGTCTCTTTTGTAGCTCCTAGTGGTCCTCCAAATAATGTGAGAAGGTTTATAATAAATGCTACTAGTATCAAAGTGAACTGGACCACTTCATCAGAGACTAGTGGATATGTGATTGAGTATACTACTGGAGGTGTAACCAGGAATGTAGTATCTACCAGTGAAGGTGAAATTGTACTAACAGATCTCTCACCAATGAGTACCTATACCATCAGTGTGTACTCATATATAAATCTTCCTTCAGTTAATAGTACAGTAACAGTGTTAAGATTTAATGGTGAGTTATTATGATTGAGAGAGTGTAATTGATATCTGTTGTAGTTCCTAGTCCAGTAACTAGTCTCTCAGTATCTAGTGTCTCAACCACTAGTATTACAGTGAACTGGACTATTCCCAGTAGTGACAACTATGTAACATACTACACCATCTCCTATACTCCATCTTGTCCCCAGTTATCATCAGTGAATGAGACAGTCTCTGTTGGTCCTCATCAGTCCACTACAACATACAGTTATACATTAACAGGTCTGTACAGTGGTATGGATTATACCATCACAGTGAGAGCTGGTAATGTACTAGGAATATCAAATTCACACATAATTATTACTGGTATACAAACTGAAGCAATAAGTATGCTGATCTTGCTTAAATAAAAAAAATTAATTCTTCTTGTAGTTCCTAGTGGTTGGCCTTCATCAATTCAAGTATTACAAGTTAATTCTACAGCTAATAGACTCACTTGGAATGAGGTCAATTGTTCTCAGCGTA